TTTCCAGCTTTCAAAATTTTGTGGCTATTGTCTGTTTTCTCATTTTTTCCCACCTTTCCATTCTGCCTTAAAGAAAACAGCAGATTCACGTTACAAATCTACCATCTTTTGTTAGGAAGCTCTATTGTCAATATTTTTCTATGTTGTGCATGTATTTCTTTTCAGAGAGAGAGAACATGAGAGCTGGGGGTGGGGATGCAGAGGGAGAAGCAGACTCCCCACTTAGTGCAGAGTGCAACACAGGTCTCGATCCCAGGACCCTGAGATCATGACCTGAGCTGAAATCGAGTTGGACTCTTAACCCTACTGAACCACCCAGGCGCCCTGTGCATGTATTTTTATAATTAAAAGTGAAGAAACTTTTTTAAAGGAGGAAATAAAACCCCCAATATTACAAACCATTATTTTCATATTTTTCCTGCATCCCCAGAGACTCTATTTAACTAATTATAATAATTACAATAAAGAATAATAATGGTATAATACGGCAGTTACTATTTGTTAGGGTCTAATTGGGTATCAGAAACTATAGTGGGCATTATCCCCTGTCCTTTTATTATATCTTTTCCACAGTCAAAACTGAGACTCAGGTTAAGCAACCTGTTGAGGTCACACAGCCAGTTAAATGGCAAGATTATGTGTAAGAGATAACAGATCAACCATAAACCAACCAAACAAAACTATGCTGACTAGTTTAAGGCAGTACCCTTGACTTGTTTGAGATTTTTGCACTTTGATTATCTAGCTGATGGGGTGGATGGTAGTATCTTTCCTGTCATAGAAATCAGTTTTCCTATCACTAAATGTAAGCACTAATAATGTTTATTTAGCAGTGTGGTATTTCATTTAGTAAATATTAACACCCATTTATTGAGTCTACTCCCTTCCTGATGCAAGATGGAGGAGAGAACCTTCAATTTTTTTTTTTTAATAATATTCTAGTTTATTGAAAAGATAAACCAAATGAGTTTTTCTATAAGTATGAGACAGGCCTATTTTGCCTATTATTACAGCACCCTTCAAATTTCTTAAAAATATATACATGTGAGCCTTCAATTTTGAACCCATCCTGCAAAGCATGGGTAAAACTGATCTGAGTGTCCTGGGGCCAGCCACGAGGATACAAGGGCATGCTCCTAGTAAAGAACATTTCATCAGTCCACTCCTCCCAGCCTTTGGACGTGAGATTCTTGATGTGACCACTCTCTCTCCACGTGCGACTTGGCTAGCGATCTCCTGGCCCCTCTCCACGCCTTGCTTACTTTTTTCTGAGGAGGGTGTTATCTGACTGGTGGGATTAAAGAGGGCGCTGGGCATGCTCAGTGCGGCTCCCTCAGCTCTCCTCCAAAGCCAGGCAGCCTGCAGGAGGCCCCTATTCTCTGTCCACCATGGGCTGCAGTTGGCAGCCTGGGGGAGTGTGTGTTCATCTGGACACTCCCTCCACCCCACCCGGGCTGCGTTCTCCAATGTAGATCTCATTACTGTTAAAGCTGACGTTTGGCCTCTGTCTGGCTCACCCATGCTTCTGTTTGTTCCAAAACCTGGGCAGGGAGGCTATGGTGTCTTGAACTCCTTCAGTGCCAGTAATTCTCTGCTGGCTGACAGGAGTTGATTTTAATTTGCATTTAAAGGATGTCACCGAACCTAGAAGAAACTACATTTTTTGAAAGGCACTGGGAAGCGAGTCAGAGAGAGGAGTAAGGCAGCGGTTGGAAACTTCCCATTTAAGAGTATTTAGCAGCATATTATTTATTACTTTAGATAGCTTGAATATTTAACGAAGGCTGTCACAGAAATGCAAATCTGTACCCTTTCCCAGGGCTCTTTTTAGACAAGGATGGAAGCCCTCGCTAGAGGCACATTCTTACTGTGCTGGAATTAACAAATTAAACTTTCCAAAGAAGAAGAGGAAAGGATTTTGGAGAAACTTTCTTATCTCAATTTCACTGTCCACGTGATTCTTACAGTACATAGGAAAGGCTTTATGCTTGCCCCCCATGTTTTAGGTGTGAATTTGCAGAAATGAAACTCGAGATCCCCTCATGGCCACCTCGCTCTGCCCCGCCCCCTTGAAGGGGGCTCAGCTTTACAGGGTATCTGGGCCACCACCCATCCAGCGGTGGGGAGGATGGAGACCCCCTGGAAGTGACGTGGAAATCTGAGCTCATGGCAGATGCATGATAAGGGGACCGCTCATCCCTTTCTTGGCCACCTGCCTGTCACTTGTGTTCTTCCTCTTGAGGGACTTGCCCTAGGTTTGCCATGGCCCTTCCTGTTGCCTTAGGGTGTGCAAAGATGTTACAACTTACCAGTTGGTAGCCTTCAAATACATACAGGTTTTGTATGGCAATTAATTATACCTCAGTAAAGCTTTTGTAAAATCCTGTGTGTTAGGAGGTATTATTCCCATTTTACAGATGACAAAATATAGTCATAGGCAGCTCAGTGAACTTGCCCAAGGTCACGAACTAGTACATGACAGAGTCAGAGCCTACTTCGGTCCTCAGTGATGAGCTCCTTCAGGGTCAGATCCACGTCTCAAGCATCTTCGCCTCTTCTCTACCCCCGCCCCATCCCCTCGGTGCATCACACATTCCTGTATATTATACATATTTGGTGCTCATTAATTATTTTTCGGATTGATGAATGAAGCATAAATATACTTTGTAACCTTGGGGTGAGAAAGCAGCTGTGGGCAAAGGGTGTTTGCAGGAAGACTGCTAGGATCCGGGAAGCGCTTTAGAGACTTGCGTCCCCACATCCCCGTGAGGGGGCTATCAGACACCGCTCTTGGGGTCCCACAAGGCTTCGCCCAGTTTTGGAAGGACGTGGGGCCACCGTTGGAGCGGTGTGGATGCCTCAGACTGAGGATGGCTGCCCGCCCTTCCACAAGGCCCACCCGGGAGGCCCAGATGTGATCCGCAGTTACCATGGAAACCATCAGTGGGCAGGGGGCTGTCACCTGGTTCTCCAAGCTAGGGAAGGATTGGGGTCTAATAGCATCCTTTTGAGAACAAGGCTTCTTGTTCTTGTTCAAGCAGGGGAATGAGCCTCCATTTCCCAAAGCAGCTGTCCTCTGCCAAAGCTCTCTGCATTGTTGCCTCTGGCCCCTGATGTCTGTGGGCTTTTCCATGAACCAAATATGCAGGTTCCCCTACCATGTGACTTTGCGGACCCTACATGCCATTTGGCGCTCTTCTGCATTCTCTGAAGCTTGTTGAAGGCACTGCCTCTCCAAAAAGTGCTCCGAGCACCCCCTCCCGACAGAATTTTCTTCCCCAGCTGACAAGCCATCTGTGTGTTTCTTTGGGGCACTTCTTCCCTCTTCCCCCCACTGGAGTTTTTCCTGAAGGTCAGGTTGTAGAGAAGAAATCTGAGCTTTTCAAACTGGGATTTGCATCTCTCCGAGGGACACACAGACGGGCACAGGAAGGCCGTGCCGCCTTGGGGGACACAGGGTCGTCGTCCTCTGCCAGGCTCCACTTCGTGTAAATATTCTTCCGTGTATCAGCCCCTTCCAAACCTCTGACGATAAACATAGGATTAAAAATAGGTTACATGGGGTGCCTGGGTAGCTCAGTCGGTTAAGCGTCTGCCTTTGGCTCAGGTCATGATCCTGGGGTCCTGGGATTGAGTCCTGCTTGGGACTCCTTGCTCAGCAGGGAGCCTGCTTCTCCCTCTGCCCTTCCTTGTGTGTGCTCTCTCTCTCTCTCTGTCTTTCTGTCTCAAATGAATAAATAAAGTCTTAAAAAAATAAAAATAGGTTACATGGCAGAAAACAAAATTCTACAAACTTTTTCAGTATTTTTTATTGGGGTAAAATATATATAAGGCGACATTTACTGTCTTCACTGCTTTTTGTGTATGGTACGGTGGCGTGAAGAACATTCACTCTGTGAGGCAACCACCCCCACCGCATCTCCAGAACTTTCATCTTCCGAAACCGAAGCTCTGTCCGCATAAAACACTCCCTCCCCACGTCTGCGGCCCCCAGCCCCCGGCACCCACCGTCTGCTTGCTGTCTGTGCATCTGACTCTGCTAGGTACCTTACGCAAGTGGATTCCTGCAGTGTTTGTCCTTCTGTGACCGGCTTATTTCACTTAGAGCATCGTGTCCTCTAGGTTCGTCCATATGGTAGCAGGTCTCAGAACCTCCCCTGTTTGAAGGCTGTGTAATATCCCATTGTCTGGATAGACCACACTGTGTCTATCCTCTGTCGATAGACACCTGGGTTGCTTTTACCTTTGGTTTTGTGATTGAAATTCCACACACTTCCAAAGATTAAATGAAAGCCTTCCCCAAGGTATGTGCTTGAGCAGGCTGCTCGTTGGCTTTTGGTTTATTGAGCCCCCTGTGAGGGGAGGGGGTGCACAGTTACAGGGACCTGCCTTTAGGGGCTCAGGCGGTGGCATCTGAGAAGATTAGACCCCGTTGTTCACGTGGCAACTTTTCTGGAGAAAGTATAAGAGGTGGTGATCATAGAGCAAACACACAGATGACAGAATGAACTGCTTGGTTATGTGACCGAGGGGAGTGGACGGATTCCCTCCTCTGGAATTTACAGAGCCTTGGGCATGGGGCCTTTCCCTGGAGGGGCCTGTGGCCTGGCAGGGTCAACAGTGTGGTGAAGGCCAGCCCAGGAGAAGAGCGTGGAACATAGGAAGGACAGAGAAGAGAGTGACAAACACGTGCCCAGTAAAGACACTTCAAAGAGAGTAGTTGGAGCCAGGGACCTGAAGGACAAGTAGGAGATCTTCAGGAAGACGGGGATGCCGGGCATTTGAACCACAGTGGGGAGCCCTGACAGCAGGCACACAGCATGGCGAGTCGGCTGGCCCAGGGTGGCCCGGAAGGGTGGAGTCCCAGGGGTATGGATGTGGGTGGCAGAGGAACAGACCAGACTTTCCAGGTCTGCCTCAGCTGGAATCAGAGCCTGTGTTAGAAAGGTTGAACTTTCATCCTCCAGCTGGGGAACCTTGAGGGATTTCCCGCTGGGTAGCCACACAATTGCCTGTACCTTGGAGAGTGATAAGTATGGAGTGAACACCAGACTCCAGAAACCCAGAGATGCCCTGCGGGTGGTCCTTAGTAGCACCTTGCAGTTTCCAGCACACTTCTTTGTGAGTATTTGAGGACTTCCCGAATTCTGAGCGAATGACCGCCACAGCAAAGCCTAGCAGGGAGTAGTTGCTCCGACCTCTCTCCCTGCCGCCCTCCCCCGACTTACCTGCCTGGCTTCTGGCCTGCCCTCCCCAGGTCCGCGCAGAACTGCTTCGGGAACGCGTGCAGCAGCTGGAGGCCCAGGAGGCCCGCTTCGCGGAGTCCCTTGTCTCCCTGCAGTTCCAGAAGGCGGCCAGGATGGCCACGACCCTGTGGGCGTACACCGCCCTCCTGAGCATCCAGGACTTGCTCCTGGAGGAGCTGAGCGAGTCCGAGACCCTGACAAAGTTGGCCTGCGAGCAGATCCTGGGGTCACACAGCCCGGTGAGTGCGGGGCTCGGGAAGGAAGAGGGACGGAGCCTGCGCCACATCTGTGGGTTCGTGGGTTCATCCTCATGTGCTCTCCTGGCTCCCTCTCTGTCAAGTGAGTGCTCGCCTGCCCTGTCTACACTGCAGGGTCACAGGGAGGACTAAGGGAGGTGACTTACAGCTCAAGCCAGCTTGATTTCATTGCCCCCAAGAAGCAAACCTTTTGAGTTTTAACATTTTTAACATTTCCGAGACAGGGCACATCTTACATCCACAACACCAGGATGGTCATCCATAGACCTGTAAAAACAGCATGGCTTTCAGTTAACAGCACCTTAGCTGCGATGAAATACTGGATTGTTGTTTCTTTTTATAATTACACTTATTACCATTATTCCTACATGCTGCATTTTTTGTCAAGGCGTGAGAGGTATAGTCATAAACCGGAAGCTACAGAATCACCTGTTTTGAGGACTAAGCTTAGGTCCTTGATGAGTTGATTTTAGAACTTCCTATGTTATTATAATTCCTCTAGAGAGGAAAAGGAACCTATGCTTACTGGGTGCCAAGTACGTGCAGCCAAGCACGAACAGGCTGTGAATGGACACACTCTCGGGTAAGCATTAATCATTCTTAATCACACATCTCAAAATGCCCCTTTAAGCACGAATGATTATAAGTAGCAATCTGCTGCTGCTCTACCTTTATGCTCTCTGTCACACATGATATTACTTAATTATCGAGCTGGGTTGTGAAGTGGGTCCTGCTATGATGTTCAGTTCTCGGGTAGAGAAATTGAGATTCGGGCAGGTGGCCGGTCAAGTTCTTTGTAAAGTCCACGTGGCTAATAAAAGCCAGGAGTGGAGTGCAATCTGTTTCTGACTTCAACCCACTAGGTCACGTTCATGGACTATCCCCGTTGATCTCGCCAGTGGGGGTTGCCATCATTCCTTTTTCAAAAATCATAAATAACATGAGGTTCTGAAGAGTCCTGAACTGTTTTTCCCATAAACATTTTGCACCCTGCATTATGTCAAATGTTTTTAAGGATAGAAAGAAGTGGAAATGTTGGTATTTCTGCACAAAACATTCAGATGCTGGATAAATAAAAATAAACCTACATCTTAATGCTTTGCGAGTTCACAAGAGAATGTAGAAAATCCCCAAAGGTCAGGGATATCCCGGGGAAAGCAAATCCAGAGGCTCAGATCCTGGGGCGAAGACTGAAATCTGCAACCCAGGGATTTGGGGTTCATTTGAGGGAATAGGAGATGAGACCGGGGGTGTCCTGAAGAAGTAGAACACCCAGTGAGGGGTGAGAGGAGAAAGCCACCTGCTGTCAAAGGAGCCACCTTTGACAGGGAAATCTGTCCTTTTCTGGCCCTGCTCCAGAGCGCTGGGGGGAGAGTGGAGAGGGGGGAGGGGAATCTCCCTGGTGAATTTTTTTTTATTATGTTAATCACCACACATCACATCATTAGTTCTTGATGTAGTGTTCCATGATTCATTGTTTGCATATAACACCCAGTGCTCCATACAGAATGTGCCCTCTTTAATACCCATCACCAGGCTAACCCATCCCCCCACCCCC